TGATTTATCATATTTCTTCCCCCGTGCGCATTTCAACAGCTGAAACGATCAAATTTCGAAAGTCACTTAGCCCACGAAGGCTCAGAATAGTGCCTACGTGAGTTGCGTTAGCGTGAAATTTAAATATGAATGTGTTCATAATGTGCAGAGACCGGAATGTACGGAAAGGGTGAACGGGCGCGAAAGTGCGAAGGATTGGAACGTTAGAACCGCATACACCGAAGGAAGAATTTCACTTTCACCGTCGTTTGAAAACGTCGTCGACCGCGATAAACGTACGACTAAGAATTCTTAGCATCGATAGTGCACGCAACGACCGTACAAGTTATTAATACTAGCTACAGCTCGAGTACCAGTCTAGAAGTACCTGCAAGTTGAATTTTTTTTTTTATAAATATCTATTCGTTAAGAAGTATTTGTTCAATTTGGTTGACACGGAACAACGACGATTCTTCAAATAGCTTCAGATAGAATAAATAGCTGTTAGGAAATATAGGTCGGAGTTCTACGCTACTCATGGGAGGGAATGATATGCACGCGTAGTGTGCTACTTTTAATATACATACATAACATTAACGATGATAGCGAGCCATCTCATTCACTTAAACCAGCAGATATGCAAATTGATGAGCAGCAGACTGAAACGTAACATCGTAGTATCGATGCACGCATTTGCTAACACGATGATTTTCGCATTTGCAATTAAAAGCTTTTCGCTTTCGCTATGGTGATTTATTTTAAGGATGTACAATCGTATTCAGGGAAATTGTATCTAAAATAAAGGTAAAAGATGACGGATTGAAATAATGAATTATTTCAATTATATTATTATTCTAATTTCATTAGAATTTTAATTCTAATAAATTTCATAACTATCATTTTACTATCTTTATTAATATAAAAATCTTAAAAATAACATAGGAGCACGTTTGATGAAGCATTGGATGATCATGTTTGAACGAATTGTATGTAAAGTGAAGTTAAAAAATAACAGATTCAAATAACGAACCATTTTTATTTTAAAAATAACAATAATTTCACTTCGCGTGAATCATCTCTGCCTTAGTTAATTCTTTCGTAATCTGTACGAATAATTTGAATTGACCGAAATATAGAGTGTACGCGAGACCAATATGCAATGAAGACAAATTTTCGAGGGAGCGAATTCTCTTCTAAAATTACCAACGAGCATTCTACTTGCAAGTTCCCATTGTCGTGTCAATGATGGACAAACGAGGACACGAGTTACTGGAATCTTACATTAATTAGATTCTCGGTTTACTATCGCCAGAGGTTAGACGAGTTTATCAAGCCAAAGTGAAAGAATCCTTTAGAACGGACATGATGCAACGAGCTAAATATACAAAACTATGTTAAACGGACGTGATATACGTGTTCAAAAGTTTCAGCGGCAACTGCAGTCGTTCTGTGCAAATGCAAGTGTAACATGATCGTCAACCATGCATGTAGAGGACCGCTTAGTTATAGTTGAAGTCTGGAGAATTACTGCGAAGTCAGTACAGATAAGACATAACTCGAAGAGAAACCTTACGACCCACATACGTTATTCCAATACGGTTACTAAGTGGCTTACAATTTAGATAATAAGTACTTACAATTTAAACTAATAATTTGTAAAATTGAAATTGTTTTCACCGCGTCACAGTCGATCAATCGAAATTAACGAGAGAATCTGATAAAATCATCGTTATGCTGTCTTTACGTAAAACAGATCGTTTTTTAATTCAACATTTGCATTGATGGTATAAAATTACTCACAAGAGAAATATTATAGTTATTATTATACTTTATCTGAAGCCAATTTACCACCGAATGGTAAGCAAATACGGTCTTATTGATTTTTTGATTTTAATATCGTAGAAGATATAAGAATTTATGATTAGATATAAACAACAATGAAGACAACCTGTTAAGTTATAAATAATAAGATCGACGATAAATATTAAGATATAATTATTAAATCAAACAATGTTTTAATGTTTTGACAACTAAATGGAAATTTACGTGAAGTTATCCAGATGTTAAATACTTTAATATAATATCTGGATAATATCTGCATATATATTTTAATATAAGAATTTTGATATGAAAACGATCTGTTAACTCTTTGAGTCTTTGAAAAATAATTCATAAATTAATATTTCGTAGATATAATTATTAAGTCGAACAATGTTTTAATATCTCCAATATTATGACAACTAAATATTGCTGGTTCTGTAAAAGTGCTAATTTAGCAAAGTTCTACAAGAAATTAAAAAAATTTGAAAGATGAACTTTATAAATTATCCTATTTGGCTTAACATTGTAAAATCGTAAAATTCATTAATAACGCAGTTACAACATTTAATAATTTACAGAATTATCGCGATAGACTTCAGTCGCGACAGACACATATGTGCGGGGAAATGACGCAAGTATACTCCTTAAAACAGCGATGACTCCAAGATGTTCATCGCTTTATCTGAAGTTTCCAGAAATAATACTTTTACAATCAACAACACGCGATTAATCTGTTTTATCGACAAGCTCGATTTCATTCGTCATTCGAACTCATAAATTCTAAGAAACTATTAATTTTGCTTTTTGTTTCCAACGACAATAACACCGGAAACCATGACTCATACGATCGATTCGCAAAAATTGATACGTTCCACTCGTTCAAATTGACAAATAGTTTCAAAACTACCAAGGATTCACGCTAGTTCGCGAGAGTGTTGTAACTTTTCTTCTCTGTTGTTTGAAAGGCAATCGCGTGCAGTTCAGCCCTTCTGTTTATCTGTAAATCAATTTGTGCAATATTATGATACACTAAATGATTACGCAATTCCAGTAAGCCAACTTATACTATCGCGCTGGTTCAATCATGAAATGAAATACACGCCGATTATAAAAATAGCTGAGTAATTAGCGACGTTAAGTAAGGTTACGGATTTATTGTATGTAGCTCTGATGCAAGCGCTATGTGAATTCACGACGTTCTACTATATTATTTCAATACAATTACAGTAGAGTCTCTGGGACTTTAGATAATAGAACTACTTTCCTGATAATAATTGCACATGTCATTTGTTTCAATATTTGAGAATTTTATATTTTTGTGGCTGTTGAAATACTCCTTAATTCATTTAGCATGAACGAGTACATTCTTTTTGCGTTCTAAATTATCTTTTTGCTGTTTCAATTTGTAGAAAAATAATGTCTAAGCCTTTGTCATTCATAAACGTTGATTCATACAATTAAACATAATAAACATATATTTTCTTATTTAGTAGAATCATGTATCTCATATTTTAGCAATTAGTACAAAAAGAAACATTTATTACCACTAAATTAGATACCTAATAGAACATTTGGATATTGAAATATTCGGATATAGGAGATTCTACTGTATTATTAATAAAAATGAACGTAATCGTATGTCATCAAGTATTAGATATTCTTTGTATAAATTAATCATTCCCTACCATTTTCTTTTAATTCGTATGTTACACGCATAAATATTTGTTCGTCCTATGTAAATCGCATCTTTATTCGTTTACGTCATTTTACAAAGAAGAGACAAAAATTACAGATGACTAATAATCCAACTTGCTTATTGTTTCTCAAATAGATCGTTTACTCAACCATCCACCTACGCAGTGTAATATAAGAGTTATGTTCCTGAGAGACTGGGTCATACAACACGATTGCAAGAAGCACAATACATGCAGATATCATTCAAGATTCTGAAATTGATGAAAAGAAAAGGAAGATAGATTATCGATTAAATGTTCAATATAAAGTGACAAACAAAAAGGACGCAATATGAACATTATGAATATTAACAGTCTATTAAATATTATATTTTTTTTTTTATCACATCAGTGACAGTAATTTATTCTGAATTATATTTTACATTTATTCGTTGCTCTTATCAAATGCATGATAATTCTATTTCATAAAAATGTGTTTTCTTTTTTTATTTTCTTTTGTTCGTCATAGAAAGCATCTGAAAAGATTCATCGCGTAATCTAATCAATCAGCTTGTACTTTCACAAAGATGGAGGAAAAATTTATATGAGATACACTCTCTCTCTCTCTCTCTCTCTTTCTCTCTTTCTGTGTTATGAGGCGCGGCTTGTCCTTGCGCATAAGGTGGGTACTTGCGTGCATTTACCAAGTTTACTGCATAACTTGTTGCACCAGCCGATATGCTTCATGAACAGCCTACACACCACAGGGAATTCGTGAACCTAGAACTTTGCAATCGTCGTAACAATCGATATTGCACAATTGTTTACGTTCATTCCGCTTCTAAATTGATTGAAAATTCGTGTCCTTCGAGCGTTTGTCGAGTATTTCTGAAGTGACTAATGCAAATATTACACACTTTGATTTCTCAAAATTCTCCAATAGCGCTTTAAACATGTAGAAGATATAGATAGACGTAACGATAAATATTATCAGATCAATAGGACTATCGATCATTGATAAAAAAAAGGGGATAATCCTTCACAAAGCGCAAGGTTGTATCGAAGACAAGAATAAAAAAAAAAAGAAAGAAAGAAAGTGTGCAGATTTCATTCAGAATTTTTCTGTGTAAATTCTAATCACATTTTGCATTTATTAATTTGCCATCTGCTAATTTATGATCGGGAGTCTGCATGTAAAACGTACTTCGGAATATATTATTGTCGCTAATATAATGAAGAACATAAATACACTTATAATGTCTCTAATTAAATTTTCTTTAGTTTACTACCTATTAATTTTGTTGGTAACTAATATATTATAACGTACAAGGAAACTATTATAGATTTACACTTGCAACGAATAGAAAAAACAAAAGTATTAAGTTAGAACGTTTAGAAAAGTTTCAGGCTCTATACTATTCAGACGACCCTGAAAAATGCTGGATTCATTCTGTTTATGAACAGTATACTGTATATAACGTAAGATTAACCCTACATACAGCAATCTATACGAGAATAAATATGACGCACGTGAATGACACAATATATAGCGTTCATGTTATGCTAGCTGGATTATCTATTCCTCATTTATGCATATCGCGCATAATTTTGTATCTCATTACCAATTATCAGAGCCGAACAATTTCGTTTGTATAACAAGTTTCATAATGTAAACCGGCTGAAAAGTTCGCTGATATACTCTTTATGAACAATTTCGTACATTCATTGATAATAAATAAAAGATAATAAAAATCGTACATCAATGATAATAATTGTTTGTAGTTTAATATAGTTTGACACTTGAAGCTAAGAAATATAAGTTCTGATAAAAAGTTCATTCGAATCGCACACGTGGATCCTTATAGAAGAACAAAAATTATCGGAGAAAAAGTCAAGGACAGGCATGAATTTTTAATGAATCGTTCCGATACCGTTGGTACGGCCTCGACGTATGGCAGTAGGATGGAACTGTGAGTATGTGGGACGCCACGTATGGTCCCGGTCATCGGGATGAACATGTATGGTCATCGAACGTGTGTCTAGTTCCTAGGGACGTGTGTTGAGCGCATCGAAACTATGCCACCGACCGGGAATCGTTCCAAGACTTTGGTCAATCACGCACGATCATCAGTTTTAATAAAAACCGGTTCTCCTCTATCGCAACGTCATTGATATTCGCGGATTTGTTTCTTTTTCTTTTTCTTTTTTTTTTTTTTTTTTCGAGCTCTTCAGTATTTAACGTATTTCCATGAAACTTGGAATCGTATCTTTGGAATTTAACATAAGATTTTAATTTTTCAACGCTGGAGAAATATTCATGAGAAATTTAAACATACGAAAATGCATGAAATGCAGAAGAAATACAAAAATATATAAAATATTCAGAATAAATTTCTGCTTAAAATTTATGGGGTATTAAAACATAAAATACTCCAAATGAAAATACCTAAAATTTTTAGAATGAAATTAAATTATATTTTAGTCGTGAATAGTGTCTTTAATTCACAAAATTAGTAATTATACGAGATTTATGATATGATTTATGACACGCTTTATATAACATGCAACACACCCTTGTATCGATAAATGTGATTCGAGGACAGGAAAAGTCTCGTGAAATAAATAGTATAGTACTATATTTAATTTCTATCTGTCTGTAATTCAATCGGACTGTTGCAAAATCGGGATTTATCACATCTCTTATATTTTATAAGATAAATTAGCTCATCTATTTCCACCAATCGAAAGCAACGCGCCTTTATTTACAAGCGAATATAAACCGGAAAGCGTCACCGGGCGTGTCTCTGACTGCACGTGCGTGAACCAAAGAGAAACGATGCTTACCGATGCTGATCACTTAACGGTACTGCCGATTTCGATGGCGAATCCATCACGCAGCCGGAAAAACCAAAAGTAACAGGTATACTCTTGTTGATTTCTTAATTTTAATTTCACCTTATAACTAGAAAGAAATTTGTTAGATTCAAAGATTCAAGGAAATGTTGTAGAAGCCAAAGATGTATTAAGGATCATAGAATTATGATCGGAAAGAATATATTTAATACATTTCAATGTATTAACAATTCTGCCAAGAGTAATAATCTTTAATGAAGAGGGCGGGAACATATATATTGAACTCCAAAATGAAACAATGAATGAATAATGTAAAACTCTCAGAACTATAAAAAGTAAAGAGCTTATCGTAACTATTCTTCCTCATATAGAAATGGAATTAATATTTAATATCTCAATTTAGTAAACGAAAATGATTACTTTTCTTTCAGGATAGTTCGTTAATCGTTCCGTGAAAGGATATTACCGTTACGTAGTTAAGTTCAGCGTTGCAGGTTCAGCGTCATGGTGCAAACACAAAAGCTACACGTACTTATGTTCTCTTGCTTTCCGAATCTCTTTATTACAAGCACGCAAGAAATATGTCGCGTTTAGCAGACGGAAAAATTGCGCAACGTTGAAAAACATGCGTGTTTAAAATAACAATACAGTGCAAAAGATACGAAGGATCGTAGCGCCAAAAGCGATGATGAATGCTTGCCAAATGAGATTAGCAACATCGCAAAAAATAAAACTCACTGTCAGCCTAAAAAACAGTGCTGTTCTCACTTTGTAATACCGACTGAAAAACATGATGTATGATTTGACGCGAGACAAATTATATATATATATATCTGAAACGTAGAACAAATGCATCTATGAGATTTACTAGTACGCGTTACTCTATTTTTATCGAGATAAATGTATTGTAGAAGCAGTTACGTAATAGTAATGGTATCTATCATACTGTTTAAACAATATACGAATATATAAGAATTGAATTACTTGATGCGATAAATTTTACGACACGTTCATTTTGTAATGTTGTTCACGCATAAAATATTTATTAGTACAATCCATTCTAGACTACAAACAACACTGCGCACTTGTATTTAATTAATAATCATATTTAATTACAATTGTTTGATAAGCTTTTTACATTGTAACCGGAAGAAGATCAATGATCGATACTTACCACCTGTATAATTTTAATGATACCAGGTATCGTTCTGAAGTAGGACACATTCAATGTAATGCCCGACAGAGGGTTAGGTTGAACCGGTTCCGTCTTCACGGTGGGTACCTGTCGAGGATTGTTGCTGGCGTTGTTGCTGGAACCATCCATCGTCACAACGGTCTCCGACATCATATTATATTTTTCGCGGCAAATATATCACGACGTATATTTGTTAATGAGAGAGACACCGGTGGAAATGTGAACACTAACAGAAAATAAAGGTAACCGGTACCACGACTGCCAAGTTCGGAACACCTGTTGGTTCACTACGGCCCGCACGGAGGCCTCACCATTGAATACTACCTACGTATTAGCGGACAATCCGCTGTTCCCCTACCGTATTCTATTTCCCCCCACCTTTGTATAATTCCCTCTTTAACTTGTCAACCAAAGTCGAAGCCAATCACCATGTTTCATGCGTTTTCCGGTTCTTACGCTTCCTCTTTAGCCTATAAATATTGACTAATATATATAAATATACATCAATCGGTCGATAAATATATAATTAATTCTATGTATTATTTCTTGGAAAATTCTACAAATTTTGTACATCCTTCGAACATGAACTTTTTTGTACTGGTTCTCAGATTTCAGTATAATTTAATACAATATTATATCATGAATGTTTCATGAATCATTATACAACATAATTTTTTGTACCCGTATTTTACGGAATTATATGATTATTGTAATGTAAAATGTTCCATAACTTAATGAAGCGCATTTGTAAAAATGTTAATGCTTTACTGAAATTACATTTGCTAAGGAATATCATGACGAATGATATTTGTTCGAGTTGAGTTTATTAATGAAATGATAGATATTATGGATGAATTTTTAAATAGAAGCGCTTTCGCGCGGTTACAAGAGAATGTCGAAGACGATTGGTGGACTAAAACTGAATGAGTAAACGTAATGGCACGTGAGGATAGTAGCAATCCAATAGCTGGCTTGTACTTGCACGCTATATCCAATGATATGAACCAATCAATAAATTGCACTAACAGAATTGACGTTGACACAACCCACTGGCAGAAGTGTTTTGTTCATCACTTGTGGCTTATCAATGATACTTCAAGATACTATCTTTCTAATACATATATATAACTTTGTTCTTTTCGCTTGAACTACAGTAAAACATTGGATAGGGGTTTTGTACATTGCAGTAGGAGCGTCTTCATATCATACTAAAGGTATAATATTTAAATGTAGGTGTAAACAGTTTCGTGTAACAAGTTCTAGTCCAATGCATTCATCACATTGGTATGCGGATGAGTATTGAATTAGAATATTATATATCTTATCACTGAATACTTGCTGTCTTTTTATATACTTGTTTTTATTTTATTTATACTGTCATTGTTGTAAATTGCAATAAATAATTTTACATTAATGTGTATTATTGCTTTAGTTTCCAATCAACAAATCATTCTCCAAAAACATATCTTACTTAGGTTCCAGAAGAGTCTGTACAAAATGTCTCTATATCCAACTCTCGAAGATTTAAAAGTAGATCATATGATAAAGGTAAGATTGAACTTTACTTTTAACTGTAAAGTTATCCATATTATTTCATTATGTATTACATGCATATTAATTTATGTTGTATTTATAGGCTCAAATACAAACGGAGTCACAATATAATGTTCCACCTATAGCACAAGAACAAACCAATCCATCTGCACCTGTTTATAATGCCTTTTCTAAAGCATTATATCCTTCATTAGGAGACTATATGGGTTTAGAACTTACTGAAGAAGTGATAGCACAAAATATGCCTGAATATTCCCTTGTGAACCATAATGTAAGTGATATAATTTAAATTGAACTAACAGACAGTTTAATTAATTTAAAGGAAAATAAATATAAAAATCTATGTTCCAGA